GAGGTAAAAGGTTATTGCCGCCAGTTCAAGTCACTGGCTTATGGGGTTATCCGTGAATTTCAGCTGAGCGTTTTGAGGTGTGCGTACCTGGGTCAGTTTAAAGTAGAGCAGCTTTATGTTCTTTTTCCCCTTGTTTCTTTACCTCATAAAATGCGTGCCCGACTGCAGTACTCACCAGACACTATTAGTAATTTGCTGTTGAACAAAGTGAGGAATCGCGAAATATTTTTTCCAAGTGCAGTGCATCTTTCTTGTATTTTTTGATGAAGCAGTTGCACAACATGTAATGACGATGATTAGGAACCCTTTTGATGAATGGAACTCTGTTCTTTTAAGCACAAGTCCAAGATACTATCCACAAAGTTAATCGGCCGTACAAAGAGATATGCATTTATGATATGTACAGCCGATCGAATGCTTAATGGTTATACGTCTGACTCACATTCTTCTAAATGAGCACATATGATCAGTAACCAAAACGGTTTATGAGAGTTGGACGCTTTTAGACCTTTATCCATGCCACGGCTTTTTAGCTCACCGTCCGAGGCTCACTTAGTCAGTGGCTTGAGTACTATGGCTGCATGGACTCTGAATGTTCGTTGCGAACCACTCTGCCTATAAATAACCTCAGAGGAATATTTCATATACATTCCATTCTTCAGGGCTACAATGCATCATACTAGAAATCATTTGGACTGATGATGAGCGAATAAAGTATATTTGTTGAAATGAGTACAAAAATGAGCTTCCAAAAATGAGCTTAAATGAAGATCGTGAAACATTTGATTCGTTTTCAGTGGTCAGGAAATCAATAAAAATGCTGAAATGAAATTGACTGGATGAAAAAAACGGTTGAAAGCGTACAAAACATTATAAGCAATGAATTTTGAAGGGGATGTTGCTGGGTTGTCAGAAAAACGTAAGCACTCATCGAGATGGCTGCTGAGTGAAAGGAGCTTCCACAAGCTGAAAAATTCAACACAAATGCAGTTTTCCAATGATTTGAGAAAAGTTGCGTTTCACCAAGAGAGGTCATATTAACCCTGTGTGGAGTATTGTCTATCATCAGTTTGTAACATATTACGGCAGAGTACACTCTCAGGATAACGAGGCTCTTTTCCACGAGAAGCCAGCCACTTTAATTCGCTGCTCTGGAGACAGTCTTTTAGTCGTAATAAGGTATCCTACGCTGTTCCTCCGAGAATTTCGCTTAAGCTGCTTACTAATGGTGTACACCTGGGACTGCGTCGCACATTTATCCACAAGTTCGAACTAATATCTGGACGTTTTTTGCTAATAAATAATTTATTCAGCGTCTTTTACCTCATCGGGCCAGATAGTTTGCTTACTAAATCCGATTTTGAAACATACAACAGTACACCATCATACGGTTCAACTAACCGTTGCAACCCACTTTATTATGTGGTCTCTCGTCGTAAAATTATAACAAGTAATGCATCAGTGCTCGTGACCAAGTGAAAAAAAATCAAATTCAATTATTCCGTAACCAGTACTATGAGTTGATCTTGATAACTTGACTGGCCCTAATGCTGAGGCTTGAGTACTTTATTCAAAAATCTGTTCTCATGAAAGTTGCCCCCTCCGAAATCTTATGCTGTCAGGTTATCCATCGCAGGCATTGGTTCACTGGAACATGCGTAAACCTCATATGGTTGATACCTCGCAGGCATTGGTTCACTGGAACATGCGTAGACCTCATATGGTCCTCATCGGTCCTCATCGGTTCATTTATGTAGTGGTCGAAACATTTGCACACAGGTGGTGCTAAACGCATTGTCCCTCCATTACTACATGCGGCAACCTCTGATGCATGTGCATGGTTTCGGTATCCATCTCGTGGTCGCAGAATATGCGCTTCACACAAGCAAACAATCAAGCTGAACTGTTGATGAATGGACGAGAAAAAATCGATGTTACGTGCAAAGACCGATATGAACTGTAAGTAAACGACTTCGAAGGTAATGAAAAGTTAGTTGCCTATTGGAAAGGATGTGATAGCAAAAGGTCTACGATGCACTCGAGGATACAAGAATGCTGTTACTGATGGCTACTCCGCGGATTTGTTTGCTTTCTAGAGGTACTACCAGAGTCATATGTGGGAGACAGAGGATCTTAGCATATGTGTACTGAAAATGCGCGCTAATTTGCTGTTAGAGGCAATAACTATTCACACTCATCAGCTTTGGGATGACTAACTTAAAACCAGTTGAACACATAATTGTACATAAAAGGTTGTGTAGGTAGGGAAGAACTTTGAAGCTGCAATAAGGTACTGGGGAAGTTCCAATTCCACCCAAAGAAAGAAAGGTAATCAGAGGTGGAAATTTAACCGTTTTTTTTCTGCGGAAGTCTGACGGCACTTTTAGTCAAGTCCGTGTATAATCTTCCGGTACATAGGTAACGAAATTTCAGGACTTCACTCCAAATTTTCTATGTGTTCCATTTCTATGTTAGCAAAACTCTGAACCGATAAACGTTCTGTTTGGGCCTATGAGGTGTTTCATTCTGGTGGAGGGGATAATTAATCCGTGGTGTAATCATACTCAAGTGAGTTGCAATGCCCAACTTACCGAAGGTCGACGTCGTTCACCGCACTGGCTGTAGAAGGTCATTTTACATTTACTCGCACGTCCAGTCCGCTCATCAAACATTGTCGACTGTCTTATCGGTGGGCAGTACACATGAAGGGTCACTGATTTCTGCGTATGGCTCGTATTTTCCAAACGATGTAGGCCAATGGTATCTTTAGGGATAGGGTGTAAATTTGACGGGGAATTTTTTCACCAGACGGGTTGCAAATCTTCATAGTTAAGGTGTTTACCAGCGATAAAAATGTGCACTCGCAGTCATGTGAAACTACTGACACTGACATGGTGAACTAAACAAGCACGCATGCCGGTATTAAAGATTGACCTACCGTATCTTGTAGCAGGAACTCTAGCAGGAAAAATCAAAAGAAGAGGTTGCTCACTCCGCACTCGCGAAACTCCTGACAGACATGAGGATGTGAAGCAATTAAACCCTACTGGATCCATCTTCCGTCGCAGTCGCAAAATGTCAATTAGACATACTGGATAAACAGAAAAGTATTTACTGGTGGCTGATCGGATGGCAGTTGATCTGTTAGCCGAGCTCTGCAATTGGCTTGCAAACGTTTCGTCCCCAGTGCGCATTCAACTGCGCACTGACGATGTCTCCTCGACTGGGGACGAAACGTTTGCAAGCCAATTGCAGAGCTCGGCTAACAGATCAACTGCCATCCGATCAGCCACCAGTAAATACTTTTCTGTTTATCCAGTATGTCTAATTGACATTTTGCGACTGCGACGGAAGATGGATCCAGTAGGGTTTAATTGCTTCACATCCTCATGTCTGTCAGGAGTTTCGCGAGTGCGGAGTGAGCAACCTCTTCTTTTGATTTTTCCTGCTAGAGTTCCTGCTACAAGATTGTGGTTTAAGTAGCAAACATGGGCTTCTACAGAAAGACATATTCTAGGTCCGACGATGTGCCTGTAATCCGCATGTTCCCTGAGAAAAGACAAAGGGCTCAACAATCTATTGAACCGTTAGGTGAGGGTGATAAGGTGAAATGCGAATGCGCAAAACTGGTCTTATTAGCATTTGGGATTTCGCGGAACCTTATTCATCTAGGTATTGCTGTGACTTTATTAAAGAAGGACACTTAGGGAATCGTCCGATGCGCATGTAGCAAGGAGAACAAGTTTTCGTGGATGTGGCCTTTGAATTCTGTTATTAATCACCAAATCTGAGCGCATGCTGTCCGAGTAAAACAGACTAGTTCCATGTTGTTTGACCTCAAAATGCCAGTTTATTGGATAGTGGCTAGGGGAATAAGATGACTTACCCAAACCTATGTTTTTCATCGGTAAAGTTTGTGTGAACAGATGTCAGGCCCACTCGCCCGTTCCTCACCAATTATCTTCAGTTCACGCTTATTTCCATTGCTAATTATCACTAACCTAGTTACCAAAGGTAAATAGTATTGAAGAGTTTTGGCTCAACCAGTTACTTGTAAGTCTGAGCGAATTTTTATGGTCATACTTATGATAAAATTGTTGAAACGTGACACTCCATAGAGCCCCTCACATTCAAAAGCACATTTAAATCCTTTCGCAGAATGTTCTGTCCTGTTACGTTCTACTTGAACCCACATTCATTTAAAGAATATGATAAACGAGAGATGGAAGTGAGATTCATTTGAGTCTCCCAAGAAAAACAAATAGGCTTGTAAATGAGTGCATTTCGCTTGCAAACTTCGTGCGATTCAGGTCTGACGAAAATTTCAGTTTAACGAAAAATCACGGAATGCGCCAAATTGATGAGCTAGAAATGGAAGGAAAAAGTAGTGATTTGTCGAGAGGTTTTCCGTAAACCTACTAATGGGTTTCTTCAAAATCTCAAGCATTCTTCGGAAAACAAACAACGAAGAGGTACTCCAGTATCGTAAACAACTGATACCACATGTCTATCGACTAAAATCCAATGACATTTGGAGACTTATTTTCTTGGCATCATTAACGAACCATGCTTATGGCACGCATAGGTCACGTGACTACATTTTGAACAGCCTTTTGACGAAAGCCTAAGTTTAGCATTGTTCTCGTGATCTTACCAACCTACATCATACCATTGTTTCAGCATCTCCAACTCGCCTCATTCGATTACACTAAAACTCATCTGTTTTTGGTTGAGTTCATTGGCTGAATCGCTATTGTCTGATGCAACATGATTTGGAACAGGATGGGTATTGTTAGGAAGGTTTCCTATATAATGTCTCCACTGTCTATTGTAAACGATGGCTCTTGAGCAATCAATCAAACCAAATCCAGTGGATGATACTGAATGCGTTTATATTCTTCACACGTGAAAATTGACGCCGTAAATATTCCCTTTCCCCAAGGACAGTCTAGGATGTGTTAAATGTACCCGTACCCGATTTGTCCCCATTACGTTGGCAATAAATAAGAATAGGGGTAGCTCGGGGTTTAACTTACTTTAAGTCAACAGGCACCTGATCTAAAGCCAGTGTACCCTGTATCACTCGTCCCCAGAGTACACCTGATCGGAACTTCAGAAAAAGGCTCAGCACCATCTTAGTCTCACTCTCACCGAATCTCGCTTTTACTCTGGTACTGTGCCCCTCCAAATGTGGACGATGACAAAAAACGTTCCTTCCTTTAGATGCATAAACTGGCACACTTGATTTCAAATCTGTTTGCCATGAACACGCTGAACAACACCTTGGGCGTAAGCTCCACTATTGTGATTGTACATTAAGCAAGCAGTTTGATAATTCCACTGGTTTGCACTCAATTTTCGGTTTTTTGTGTATCATGGAGATTTTATACACTAGAAATAACTTTTTGTATGTCCACTGGAAAAAAATAACGCCCGATTTGTATCACTGACCGGGTATTCTGCATATTCCAAATTTCACCAGCCAAGATGGTGACAAGCTTCATTGGTATTTTGCTCTGTAGGTTTCCAACCGAAGTATAATCTTGTGATTGAGGTCACTTAGCTCAAGGAAAAATCGGGAAGCATTGTTCACTAAGTCATTTTTGCCAGAAGTAATCAACAAAGCACGCTCTTCGAAATTATAGAAAGTTTGAAGCAGGAAGACCTTCCGTTTGCACACTTGGATTGACATATCCATCGCATATTTGTTCGTTTGGCTCAGGGCACAACATTCCTCGTAGGAAATTATGTACGTTTTACCGAACAATAGTTGTGGTTGGAAGACATTCTTCAGGCAGATTCCGCTGCTTACAAATGTTTGTCAGGTTCATCAGTACTAACAATGGGGTGAGGGCTCAGAACCTATCAACAGAACCACGGAAGCAAACAGAATATTAGTCTTGTATGCCAGAAGCGGACTTTCCGCTTTGCGTCCAGCCAGGACAAACGGTAATCAGACAGAGGCTATTTTATGCAGCGTTTCTATCAAGATTCGAAATAATGTTTCCAAAACTGTTTAGTATTGCAAAAATTTTCTGATTTTCTCCAGAAAATAGTTGGATAGGGTGATTCTCCATTGAATGACTGGAGCGAGTGGACTATATTGAAATGATGATGATGATGATGTAGTGACTGTACGCAAAACAATAATGACAAGGAAAACAGTGGCAACGTTGACGATGGCGGTGATGATAGCAGAGGAAATGATAATGATGATGATCATGATCATGATAATGTTGATGATGATACCGATGATGGAGATGATGACATGTTGTTGACGGTGGTGTTGACAGTAGCAGGAATGCCTCGGTCGATCACATATCTTTTGAAAGTCAGTTCATCAATTTTCTAGTATTTTGTATCTTTAAGAAGCCAACAGAGAAACTCACAGCCCTAAAGAAACGGCACACGAAATAAAAAATAAAAACGCCAGGCAAATGATTTTATTCCCAACAGTCACTCTCAGTATACCTTGAAATCATCCATTGTGCCATTGATGGTTCCCATAAAATCGCCGTCTCTTCATCCGAAACACTTAGGCTTGTTTCTTCCTATTGATCTGGCCAACAGCTATAGTGCGCTACGGTCAGTTTACTTTCAGAATCAATACCAGGATGAAACTGGACGGGTTTTATATTTGAAGGAGTTAGACGAATTTCTGTACGGCCTTTATTAGGCCAGGTTTAGACGTCATCTTTTGAAGGGAACTAATGAAAAAACCAAACAACAGTTAGTATTAGCGATTGTTTCTCCATATTTCGGAAAAAGGACCGTTTCGGAAAGATTTGCCTAATTCTAAAAGGCGTCTATGATTCAACTTCTTCATGATACGGTTTGCAAAACTCCCCTTGGTTTGAATGCTTTTACATGCATCACAGGAAACAAGCACACAAGTGAGAGAAAGAATGTTGCATTACTTTAGGCAGGGACTTACCGTGAATATAGGTCACGTCTCCAAATCTAAAGTCTGAAACTCGAACTAGCCTGGGTGGTATATCCGAATCAAGCCTCGAGTTGTCGAATCCTGGTGGCCAGGCGTAAAGGGATTCTCGGATCTCTCCTTAAAAGTAACAAACAAAATAATGTATTCAGAGACATTTTGGATGCAGTGTGCCCTATTACATGGGAATCCCACGTGTATCTTTCTAAGAAAATGAAGTATGGAGAGAGAAGGATGCTAAAATTGGCACATAAGGAGATACAGAAAAACGAATTAATGTAGCAGTGACAGTGTTTATCGATGCGTCACGTCTGTATTCGCTACGGTACGCGAATTGGAGTAATCTCTATGTCCCCTTTAGCCACTACCCGCTAAAAATCACCAGATGGCAACAAGAGAAAAAATACTTTATATTGTCTCTCACTACGACAAGTATGTAAAATNNNGTAGTTTCAGCAGGATGATCTATTGTCTGGCATCGTTGATCGATGTGACTTGCTCGGACATTGTGCACAAAATTCCTTCACTGATTTATGTACCTATAGGAACCTCGACTAAGTCTGTTTGACAACACCTAAAACTGGAATGTTTGATGGGACTCGATCAAACGAAAACTGGTCGCCGTTGATTCCCCTATGTACACTCAGAAAAAAGACGAACTGGAAACTTGCAGCGTTTCTTGTATCGTTTGTTTTTTGTTGGCATGTCTGCGGGCCTTGTATTTGCCCCGTTGTTGCAGTGACAATCTAACAGAGATCCCTTACTCTGAGCGAAGCTAATCTACGATGGAAAGCAAAGAAGTACCGTTTAGCTGCTTCATCCTCATTGGGATATATCAACCGTGCACATATGGGCAAGCAACGGCTGAACGGTTAGGTGTTTAAACATATAACTTGGAGGTCGCGGGTTCGAACTCCCTACTGGAAGATCGGGAGGTGAGCACTGCTTACTATTCCCGATAGAGATGAAAAAGCTTCGAATTCTCAGCAGATATCGACTTTACCGATAAGAAAAGTGCACAGTAAAATTACCAAATCTCACACTACCAACAGTAGCTTTTCGGCCAAGAATTCAGGCTGGTTACAGGAAGAGGAAACAAAATAGGTCGCGGAGTAAGGAAGGCCGCAGTCTTTGTCGCGTCACACTACAGGAGACAAAAAATTTAAAGAGGACTTTCGCACATGAGAATGGGTCACACACTTTCACAGGGACTGAAACATATGTTTTTCGAAATACTGGTAGCTCGGGTGAAGAAATGGTTGTCAGGTGACAGTTGATCTGTTCGTCATCCTTAGCAATTAGTCTGCAAAAGTCGCGTCACCGTACGAGATATCATTTGTGCACAACTGAATGAGCATTTTATCCAGCTCGACTTGCGTCTGTGTTTTTCATAAAGGGTGCTTTTCACCTCCAACCTGATTAGTTGTTAGAACCTTCGCTTCCTCGTGAATACAATATATAAAAATCCGAAAATTTGAATCCGCTTTGAGGGTAAAACTTTGGTAATCCCTAAAGAGTAAACAGCAGCGAACAAGTCCGTTATCAAACATCCTTTCCGGCGACATCGAATCCACAGTGAATGAATAACGCGCTGCATTTGCACATTATCAGAGGGCAGGCATACAAACTTCGATATACAGTCACACAATTCAGATTCTGGTCATCCCAGTGAGCGCAAAGAAAAGTTGCGTCCGAGCACTGTTCAAGTGGTTCGGAATGGAATAAAAACACTATGCAGAACAAAGTCAAGGAGGACCACGTTTGGAAAAGGCCGCCCAGTAAAATGGTTGCCCGGAAAGCAAAGATATTCAACGAACCTACCAGCTTGAAATGCGTTGGAGCACAACGCATAAGATGGACGAAAAGAATCAATCAAATGGCATGCAAGGGTAAACTGTAATGAATTTGGAGCCAACAAATACGCTTTTCAACCTAAATAAGTACGAGTAGCCCTGGAGGAAATATCCTGCAACCGTGAGCAGACACCTTTAATGGTGACAGAAAGAAACATTTTCCTTGCTTACTTTCACCCTTGGCAACCAGATCAACTGCCTCACAACTAGCAGCACCCTCACAAAAGGCCTCTTTTTTTCTTGTGTTCAATTCGCTGGATATGGAAACCCATGAATCGATCTCTCAACTTTCCACATCCAGATGGATCGCGCATGTAAAACGGCCCCACTCTGTCTGATGAGGATTAGACTAAAAATAAACTAAAATAATGCCTGAGGAAACTTCACATCGCATTTCTGGAGCGTCTCCTGTGAGGTTCAGCTATTTGATCCTAATCTGCATGGGGATAGCATGGTAACCGAACGAAAAACCGGGAGTACCCTAAGAATCAGGTAGAAAAATCGTTCGGTGTGAGAGGGCGGAGAGTTCGAAGCATGATGCATCAGTGTCCGTAAATCCTTCTCAAGTAAATATACTGGTGGCAAGTTAATCAACCGGAAGTTCCGAAACACTTCATGACTAGACTTTAAAGGTAGATTCAATACAGCGCCGAAATTCTGGCTATAAATTTGTTTACATCAGTAACGGTTCTGTCACCATCAGTGGACATCCTGCACCCTTTTTTTCAGGTGCCAGTTGAGATAACAATTGGAATCGGTAAACCAGGACATCTGGATGTTTGTGCACCGAGTGGAAAAGGCGCCCGATAATTTACATTAGGTGGTAAGTAATACTGTATCATCCGCAGTGTTCCGTGCTAATGAGCGTGAGATGAAGTTGGTCTATGGAAACATAGTGTACACCATAAAGTACCCACCATGTGTCAGAGTGCTAATTTGTGAGAGGCGCAAAAATCAACCCAAAAGGTTTATTATTTAGAGTAAAAGAGCTGAGACAGATTGTTTGGATGATAGCGGTCATGTTCAAGAGAAGCAGGTTGGGCTGGATTATAAAGCAGATCGCTTAAGGCTATGCAATGAACTGGGTAGGCTAAATTGAAAACAACCCAATAAGACTTCAGGCGGTTCAAAGACATTTTCATCAATGTTTTTTCGTGATGCCAACTAACTCTACCATATGCAGATTTCAGCCGTGAGGCCGACGACCGACGGATTTGAAAGTTGGACAGATAGCTGGATTTGGAAATTGGAGGTTTTTAAAGTAGGCCAGTAAAATAAATTGTTTTATGCCGAATAGTACTTCTGCATCCTAAAAAGTTCGAAAGTAAGCCGTTTTGGAGTTAGTTTCAATAACATTTCCCCTTACTGAAAGATTGCTGTTCTACACTGTGCTCTACTACTTTACCGGTACTATTTCTAACTACATTGTGCCATGCTATACTATACTGTGCTATACTATACCATATTGCACCAAACTATACCATACTATACTGTGGTACGCCACACTATACCGTGCTGTACTATGCAATATGGCATACCATACTGAAGTACGCTGTGTTGTGACACATGTTACTGCCGAGTGGTGCCCTGTGATTGAGTCAGAACTACAGTTTATCGGACGCTGCACATCAGAACCCAAGTCGTTTTAAGTTGACCTAAGATTAAGCGACATACTTTAATAGTTGTAGAACGTCTTCTAGTTAGAACGTAAAGAATACGGAAGTTCAGTACAGATATCTCGCGACAGCATCCGCAAAAATGCGCTGCCATTGACCATCCTAAATAGTACCAGAACTACGGTCTGTATAGTTGGTTCCTCGTGAGTTTTTGACTCACTTTTTGAAAACATTAAATGATACAGTCGTCTTGTTCACACAGACACAACCTCTTATTTCTCTCAAAGGACTTGGCAAACGTCATTTGACATATGTCTCAAACCACCTGGCTAGATATGTCAGGTTTAACTATTCCTATCGCAATCGCCGAAATCGCCAGGTGGAAAAGTCATTATTAGCATGAATACCAAGTTAATTGAGTGGCCAGTCATAGCCCTCTACTTTATCCAGAACCTACGGAAATCGTTGCTAAGTCAAAAAACCATAGGTGGTAAATAATACTGTATCATCCGCAGTGTTCCGTGCTAATGAGCGTGAGATGAAGTTGGTCTATGGAAACATAGTGTACACCATAAAGTACCCACCATGTGTCAGAGTGCTAATTTGTGAGAGGCGCAAAAATCAACCCAAAAGGTTTATTATTTAGAGTAAAAGAGCTGAGACAGATTGTTTGGATGATAGCGGTCATGTTCAAGAGAAGCAGGTTGGGCTGGATTATAAAGCAGATCGCTTAAGGCTATGCAATGAACTGGGTAGGCTAAATTGAAAACAACCCAATAAGACTTCAGGCGGTTCAAAGACATTTTCATCAATGTTTTTTCGTGATGCCAACTAACTCTACCATATGCAGATTTCAGCCGTGAGGCCGACGACCGACGGATTTGAAAGTTGGACAGATAGCTGGATTTGGAAATTGGAGGTTTTTAAAGTAGGCCAGTAAAATAAATTGTTTTATGCCGAATAGTACTTCTGCATCCTAAAAAGTTCGAAAGTAAGCCGTTTTGGAGTTAGTTTCAATAACATTTCCCCTTACTGAAAGATTGCTGTTCTACACTGTGCTCTACTACTTTACCGGTACTATTTCTAACTACATTGTGCCATGCTATACTATACTGTGCTATACTATACCATATTGCACCAAACTATACCATACTATACTGTGGTACGCCACACTATACCGTGCTGTACTATGCAATATGGCATACCATACTGAAGTACGCTGTGTTGTGACACATGTTACTGCCGAGTGGTGCCCTGTGATTGAGTCAGAACTACAGTTTATCGGACGCTGCACATCAGAACCCAAGTCGTTTTAAGTTGACCTAAGATTAAGCGACATACTTTAATAGTTGTAGAACGTCTTCTAGTTAGAACGTAAAGAATACGGAAGTTCAGTACAGATATCTCGCGACAGCATCCGCAAAAATGCGCTGCCATTGACCATCCTAAATAGTACCATAACTACGGTCTGTATAGTTGGTTCCTCGTGAGTTTTTGACTCACTTTTTGAAAACATTAAATGATACAGTCGTCTTGTTCACACAGACACAACCTCTTATTTCTCTCAAAGGACTTGGCAAACGTCATTTGACATATGTCTCAAACCACCTGGCTAGATATGTCAGGTTTAACTATTCCTATCGCAATCGCCGAAATCGCCAGGTGGAAAAGTCATTATTAGCATGAATACCAAGTTAATTGAGTGGCCAGTCATAGCCCTCTACTTTATCCAGAACCTACGGAAATCGTTGCTAAGTCAAAAAACCATCATAACAGAGTAGCCGAAAGTCGTTGTTTGTAGAAGCAATGAACTACTTAGGGAAAAGTGGCACAGTGAAGAATATCCACAGAGTAACGTCGGACTAGAACACCCAACCATTGGTTTGGGGTTGTGCCTCTAATTCTCATGATGATTCGATTTCGACCTGAAGTTTTCGAACGTGCCAATAGTGACTGTTGTGTGGGTTGGATTCCTTCCTGGTTTAAACCGACTTATCGATTTCCTGTTTGACTGGTATCAATAAGAGCCTAATGGGGTTGTCAGTCTTTTCATTACGGTGTGACGATGAGCTGTTTGCCATGGCGTTTCTGTACGACGGTTAGTAGCTGTTTTGTCTTTTGTGATTACAACTGAAGTTTCCCGAATAGGTAGGGCTGCGTTCATACTGAACGACTGAGACCTCCGATCTGATTGGTGTCCGAATAAACACTTGTATTAATTTCGTGTTTCCTGTTTTGTGCGACAGGCAATGGAAGACTCTGACTTATTGATTTTTTGGCTAAGATGCATCCCGTTTTTAGGCAATCATTGAGTGAGGTTAGGTCACGTAAGTTCTGTGTATGACATGCCTGCTAGCTAGAAAAGTCAGAATTATTATGTGGAAATCTGCTCTTTTAATATAACCTTATTTTGCTTCAGTTTAAACAGAATAGTTAGGATAGAGGCCATCTTTCTGCAGCCGAATTTTCCTGCGCAAAATATACATACGAATATTTGGGAGGCCCGAATACTGGTCGTTGCTGAAGTCATCAGCATACGTAGTTGTGAGTCTCATCATGGCGTCCGAAAGCACTTTGTAGAGGCAATACTGTTCACGCAGCCATATATTTGTCTTCTACCTCCATGTGACTAAATGTTGGTGAATTTTGCGAACTGTTTGACTTTTTCGGTATCGATTTCTAGTCTGAATAAACAACTTCAAATTGATCCATACTAACTTCCCTGAATGTGACTCAGCAGGAAGACAAGAAGGCGTAATGTAATTTCAGCTCAGTATGTGTTCATATGATTAGATCGGTGAAATTTTCCGGAGTTTCCGTCCACTTGTGATGTGATGCCAGCAGCCTAGCACGAACCAGTCCTGTGTTATTCTGACGTCAGCGTTACTTCAAAAGCTATTCTCGCCTTTGAACGTCGTCTCTTCTTCTGCGCGATGCGAAGGTAGTAATGCATGAGTTGGTTTTATTCTCCGTTTAAACCGTCACCCAGTCCTCGTAGAGGATATAGTATACCGTTGTTTCTGTTAGTAGTATACTTTCAAACGTTTCCCGGAGGAAAACTAAATGCTTCTGGCATGCACGACAATATCATCACAACAGAGGAGGACTTTCTTCTTGTTCTTTCTTTGAATAAAATTCAGTCCTGCGAGTGGGGACTTTCTATGTTGATCTGTTTGGCTGCCTTGTCATTACTGTGAATCATCGGTAATGTGCATCTCACAAAAAACCAAGGAGTATTGAAACCGAAACCACCCGTCTAGTTGTTGGAATACAACTATCCGGCCGCGAGCAGCAGATCAGTGGTGTGATTAACTCGCACTTAGATAGGATTAACATCACTCATCCTTCATCTCGGACCCTAAATCACGTGGTTATGACCTATACAAGACATCTTCTAGTAAAACCGAGGAGATCAATGATAGCAGGCGTGTATTTGTGACGAAACAGTCCCACTAGAAATGGGTAAATTTTGAGTTACACGTCCCTATTGAGACCGCTTGGTGTCCCAGCCTAAAGGCCATTGAAGGGAAGTGGCACCGCTACTAATGTTATAGCGTAACAATTTGCCTGGAATTCGAGTGTACTTCTGTGTATTACTTACGTTTGTTGTTAAATTCTTGAGGAAGATGTATCTACTCGGTTAGGTCACACTGTTTTGGATACCAAGAAATCTATCCTCCCTTCAAGTGCTGGACGGAAACTTGACTATACCATGGCAAGTAAAAGAGAGCAAAATTTCACATCTAGAGTAACATTGCAAAAACGTGAATTTATCCTACAAACGAAGAGCGCAATAACAACTCTTGTTTTATCCACTTCCAAACGTTTTGATCAATGGGGTTTGCAGTGCCTTATGAAGCATTTTGACCGGCTGACGCTGTGAGTTTGTGAGCATTATCTCACAACCAGGCCAGTTAATCCCACAAAACCTTCGGCGATGCTTCTGTGCAGTCGATACCGGAAAGAAACAAGGGAAGTTCATGAGGGATTGTCCTGGAGAAACCGTGTCCGACGAACACGGTTTCCTTGGAAGCCTACCAGTGACAGACGGTTGCTTTCGGGGCTTGTGTATGATGAAATGTAGTCCCGCAAACTTTCTGAGTCTTTAATTTTTGAACTAAAGCTAGTTTGAATGCATCATCGGGAGTCCTGCTATTGGTAACATTGGGCTGTGTATTTGAGTGTCTGAACTTTGTTTAAATAGAAGCGTCGATGAAAATTCTACAGTTTGCGCACAGTCAATCTGTAGCGTAAATTTGCCAGTAATTCAGGTTTCAAAAGAATCAATGACACATTTCAGTAAGGCGTTGAGACCAAAAAACCTACCACTTTGAAATAGATGGTCACTGTAGAGTGGTAAGGCTAGTAGGTGCTTCACCATGTTTACCGGTTCTGTATTCCGTAACCAAGTTATCAGCACATTCTGGCTCCTGATATTGGGGTGTGCCTAACTCGGTTATCAACAACCGCACATGAGTTTCAAACGCTGTCACCAGGTAGGCTTAATAGAAAAACATCCGCAAATAATCAGGTTTAGATGGGCGGTGACGGGTGCGCAACGGTATGTTTGAATGATGTCGAGTAGGTACGTGATTGACGTTATGAAGTTATATGCAGTCCCAGCCGAAACTTTGACACGAAATATTCAGCGGAAACATTCCGTGTTTTGAGAATCGAACCGTTTATATAAAAAGTCAGTAAATTTGCTTTTGATCTGTATCTTTTTATTTCTTACACAAGAGCTTTATCAGTCTACTTGATAAGGTTACATGCCCAAGGTTACAGGTCCAATTTTAAAGTACAAGAAGGAATAATCAGCAAGATCTCTTGCAACTGGGAGGTTTATTTGTCAGTTAACGGATTTTGGTTCGTAAACAAGTGTAAGACCAATTGGCTAGGGTGGACTCGTCTAAATTTGTGCCCGATACGGAGTCTATTTGTTCAGGTTCACTTCAAGTGAGGATGTGCTGCAAAGTAAATTACATGTGGGAAGAGACCTCATGAGCTGTGGTCAGTTTGGGCTTATTAATTTTTGATTTAGGCCGTTTCTGATCGATGTTTTTATCGATCGAAAACCTTGAATTGTCACGTCTCCAATCAAGTTATCTAAGACAGCTCACCAAACGCCCAGCACTTCTATACCCTACACTCCATTCACACCGGAACGCTCGGCGATTCCAGCGGCCTAGAACATCAGCTACTGTTGTGCAGATTGTGATCAGTGCTAACCATAACCTAGCCTTTGATCAGGGACGTTATACTTATCCAATAGATACTTTTGGAGGTTTGGTCATTCTTCATTTTTGCTCACCATTTCCAGTGAGTAGTGCTACAACCGGTAGCCATCATCCTATTCGTTGCATTTGATTTCGAAAAGCGGTCGCTGGACTACTCAAATCCACCTGCAAAAGCTTCCCTTTAAAAAGTTATAGACTGCTCAGAAGTTAAGCTACCGGTTGTATCCCGATCTCATTTGAAATCACGATTTCCCAGTCGGTGCTAAAAGTATTGAACAGGACTTCTAATATCCCTTTGAGGACTGTATGCACATCCGACCGGTAGGATAACGTGTGGTTGGTCTGCAGTTTCTATTTGCTCAATTAGTCTATAAAGAGTACAAAAAAGTTTGAACAAATCTTAGACAACATAAAATCTTGCATAAAAATTAGCTACTAATCACTCACAAAATTTTGGCTCAATATGTGTCGAAGAAACGTGTCTTCATGTACATCATATGACACAACTTATGCCATATGGCTTAATAAAAGAAAAAAGGCATGTATCTTCGAACAAAACATATCAGTATCGACAAAGGTTACCTGCCAGGACTTTGAGAAAACAATGAGATCCATCGTGGTCATGAATGGAAGTCCCGTGCCCTTCACCCCAACATAGAATAAGAAGATTGAATCTTTCATTGCCTGCATCCACGAGGTTTCGCGTGTACCTAGAATAGTAAATTGCGTTTTGAAATATGTCAAGTATTTGACGAGGTAGGACGTCACAGTTCTTCAAGTATGAGTTCTTTAAATATGCAAAACTTAACTTTAGCGTAGCTGTATAAAACCCTGTAAAAATAACCATTGTACAGACTCAACACTACTCAAAGGTACTGCAAATGCTCCGACAGTTCATGATCGTCTATGCATGTTTTGGGGCTCATAAGGTAGGCACAGTCCCCAGGTTCCCATTAACCCCATGTTCTACTCGAGCCGTAGTTTGACGGACTTCGCCAGATATTATAATCTGAACATCTATTTGTTTTCGACTGACTCCAGATGAACCTCTCGCTTATGGCGTTCTGCATCAACTGAATGTGATGCATAAGGCCATTCCATGTTTCAGTTGATATCTCAGTGCGTCGTCTAGAAGTAATACCACCCGGAGAGTCTCTCGTAGTATAATGTTTGTTGTGCCAAAGTCAAATGGAACCCTCCATGTGCTTCTTTAGGTGCAGTTTTCTGCAGCCGTAGCCGACCAACCAGAAGCTTGGGTGTTTGAGCACATCAAGTTATCCTCGCAGTCACTTCAAGCGAATCTCACGGACTGACTGATTTGTCTGGCTTCCTAAGCTACGCTTAAATGATTTCCCATGATCGATTAAGTTGCGCTCAGTCATACAGGATACATTCGTGCTCAGTTTCTACCACATACACATGCAGCTGTTTCGATCACACTGACTGATGCCGACAGCGTGTCAACCTTGCTTTATATTCATCGCTTTCCTCTTCACAGAATTGGTTTCCGTAGGACTGGTTAGTCCACCCAATAGGATACCAACACACAAGTGTTCTGTATCCCAATTTCAAATACCGTAAGGAACGGTCATTGTTGAGGCCGTTGGCCTAATCCAGTGAAGAATGTGTGCCACAATTTTTTGAAAATGCTTTCAATCTTTGATACGTCGAATCCCACTTGAAATACCGAAAACGGAAATACCTACTTCGACAGAACTAAACAGGAGCCCCTAGAACACAGGAAGGTGAACGTATGGCGCCTTGGTAGGTAGCGAGTTGACTTATTACCTGAGCTATCGCGAAAGCGCCACACAAGAGCACTTGAACACTTAGTCTCATATCTTCCTAATGCAACATTAGCTGATTTCTGTCAGTGCCACTGGTGTGTGGATTCCATGGCATGTCTGACAAGGGTGCTCCCGTGACTGTCAGAGAACTAAAGTGTCGTGTGACTCAATGCTGTTCTGTCATCAGACGCAGGCAATCATTATGTGTCATTGAACTGTTTTGAAAACAAACTGAAAAAGGATTCTGACGACAGCTTTTCTATTTTCACTGTGGGAAAAACTGACACGTCATTGACCACTGCATCACATTACTACCTTGGGTCCTGCCTATTGGTTCCCGATCTCAATTTAAGTGTTGTTACTCCGCTACACATTTGATGATCTGACGAAAACATGCTAAATAAGAGGAAAGTTAGAAGTTCGGTGGTTGTGGTGTGGCCAGATGTTTTAGTGGGTTGTGCTGGGCATTTATTCGTGGCCATGGTCTTTCTCCACAGTTTGGATAACAGTTACGTGGTTAAACTATCCATTCGTCAAATGGAAAGGCAACTGTGAAAAAGTTGAACCAGTTCGACAATATTGGTTATATCATCCAGTCGGCGGAGCCAAGTTTGACTTTGTTATTCTCGGTACTCGAAAGAAACTGCAGTCTGATAAAAGTTTTTCTAATAGTCCTCTAGTGTGGAGAATTCAGTTAAGTCCCTAACGGAATGAGCTAACCCATTTTCAATTCGGAAAGCCTAGCGTAATTCGGCCAGGACACCAGCAGGACTGTACAAACGACAGCGATGTTACGAGTGTATGATCGTATTTTCAAGCGACGTATGAATTTTGAAATGCAAAGGACGCGATTCCAATCGATTTCGTCTAGAAAGCGACACAAAGTGCCTAGCTTTTTACAAAATAAACTACAATTTCAACAGTCACATGGGATTGAAAAACTATAGCAAACATGCGCGCATCTGATTCTTTCTCCATTTGAAATGCACTATGTAGTGAGCTTTCTAAGGGACAACGTCTAGTTTCGAGCGAAAAGCAAACTTGTTACTGTAGGATAAAATGTCAACAACTATTTCATCTGTTTGACAGAATCTCCCTCCTAGATAGAATCACTTTACATTTTCGCTTAACGTGCTTTGGTTAGTGATGTTCATTCCGAGTCAACCTGCACCCAATCCATCGTGAAAAACCAGGCCATGTTTTCGTGCACACTCAATGAACTCCGGGGATATCCGAACCCGCAGCCGTACGGTCAGTAGCTGAGAAACACACCGTTGGGTCACAAGAGGTTGATTAGCCGGAGTGACGACTTTTCGGGTAGGTCAGTGTGACTGTTCTGGTCATATATCCTTTGGCTTGGAAATATTACGCAAATTAGGATGCACAATTTCATTTGAAATTCGGTTAAGCAAGGACAGTTAGTCGTTTTTGCTGATCCGATAAACACTGTATATCTGCTTGTATTTTC